CCCCCCAAAAAAAAGTTTTTTTTGATTTTTTAAAATGAAAAATTAAAAGGAATAATGACCATTCGTTCATTCGACTAACAAAAATTAACCAAATTATTAGTTTACTATTCATTCAAACATTGTACTAACCAAATTCACCCCAATTATTAGTTCATCGTGTGATCTAGCTTCGCCCAATGTCGGTAGGATTTTGATATTCTTTTGATAGTTAAGGCATGACTATCTTTATTTGGATTTTATATAAGACTTTAATCATTTCAAAATTCAGTAATTAATTCACAATATATGTTGTTTGTTTGTGAGTATGGTTGGGGTAAATCTTTCCATTTTATTTCTAGGTAGGTACTTTAATTTTTTCTCTTCTTTTCAAATGGAGCTTATGGTTAAAAGCCCATAATAATCAGCAAAAGAGTACTAGCAATTATCATAGTTTCTTTCTTATAACAGATGAAAAGAGGAATCACTTCGATAAAGTATTAAACGATATGAACACTTTCTTGCTCTACAAATTTAGCTTGGTCTCCGTCCCTTTTTTCTCATTTACGTGATTCTAACTCTTTCAAATTTGTATCTTTTCATATCCTATAAATTCTTAGATCATTTCGATGACGATAAGTAAGAGTTCGCAAATGAGTTGTTCCATGGAACTCACCTCTAGTGGGGAAGCACAAAAAATAATAATAATAGTTTTTGCTTATTTGATGATAACTAACTTCTTGAAGCAATAGTTGTCTTTTTAATGAAATGTACGTGTAATGATTATCATGAAAATCACCTTTATAAAAGTTTGTCGATTCATGATTTAAAAATTCTCACATCGTGCATAATTAACAAACAAATCACGAGCTAAATTTGCCACAAACATGAATCGTTTCGAGTGAATAATATATTAAAAGAATTGAAATGTTGAGAGGATCTTATATCTAAATTTTAAGACTATTTAAAGGAGATTTGAGTTGGCTGAGATTGAAAAAATTGATCTATAATATATATTTTATTGTATCAATAATGTGTGTGTATATATATATACACACACGCATCTTTTATATATAGGCATATAGCTAATCATCTATACATATCCATACTTTATGTATACATATCGATACATTATATATACATATGACCATTTTATTGAAAATAACTTTTACTTGCATGTATTGCTAATTTTGAGCAATTTTTTATGCAAATGAAAATTTGTCCTTTTAAAAAAAGTATCTTACACAAATATGCCGCAACAAAAAAAAACAAATTCCGCTAAATAGCCATATATAAACAATATATCTATATTGTATAAATAATATACAATCATGTATATATAACGTATAATTATGTACGAGAGATGAATATATATTTATATGAAGTGATACAATATCAATACATTCATATACAATATTTAAATACCCATTTATGCATTCTAGTGAGATTTTATAGAACAATTGCCTCAAATAACCTCAAACATCATAGAAAACTTTCGATTTTGATTTTTGAAATCCATTTTCTCAGGTTTCAGATCTAAACTTTACCCTCTTTTGGGATATCTAGGTAACGTGAAAGAGAGAGAGAAATACAAAAAAAGAAGAAGATAAAAAGCAAAGTAATGAGGATAGGAGAAAGGCAACTAATTGAACTATTTTTTTATAATTAGCTGAATGTCAAAATAAACGTACCATTTAATTTTCTCCAAAGGGATAGGAGAAAGACAACTAATTGAGTCAAATTTGATATTAGCTTAATGTCCAAAAAAAGCTTCGATATTAGTAATCTTTAGCTTAAAACAATAAAAAATGAAAGAAGAAAGCATATACCGGGTAATGGAGATTAATAGATTCAAAGAGGAGAGTTGGTATAACGATTTTATGGGTTCGACAGTACTTTGAGTTCAAAATCCCCTAATTGTACTTTAATGGGGAAGGGGATATGCGTGTAAATAGGTTGGGTGAGGGGTCCATTAAGGGTAAATAGCTTGGGTAGGGTTTAATTTGGGTAAATAGTTCCATTAATTATTGGTCGTATTTGTATAATTTTCCCTTTTTTAAATATGCAGGCCAATTGTGTATCATATAATAATATATGTTTCTTTTAGTATAATTTTATGTGTCGTCTAATTTATCGTCATATGATTTGCAATGGTAAGCTTCCACGTAATACTCTGATCCTTTCAAACCCAACACTTGACCTCCTATAAATTCAACACTACCGATTTTAGGGTAAACAATCACTTTAATGTTATATTTGATATTTTGATGATAATTTCCTCTGAAAATGTGAAGCATCATTCCTTTTACAAAGTATAAAGTGTTATGATTACAAAGTAGAAAGTGTTTTGAGATGATCAGTACAACAAGCAAATTCTTTTCTTTATTGTCTAATTTATCGTCATAGGTAACAAAAATTAATATTTTGTTTTTGCTCTGGATAAACAAAATCTTTTTTGAGTCAGACTTTCAAACACGTACAAAAATTATAATGTTTCGAAGTTGTATTTGCCATTGATTTATAACTTCAATTTGACGGGAAAGTAGAGAGAAAAAACAAAAATATATTAATACATGGCCAAGTAAATTAAGAAATGAAAGTGTTATTAAAAGTTGCATAATCAGCCAAACTACGTACAAATTTGACTCATATATAAGAATTACTAATTAAAACATGCAAAATCAAACCATAACATATATTTAAAAGAAAGATGAGTAATTTTCCTAATTAATTAGTAACTAGCGCAATATGCGAAGTTAGTCTTATTTGTGTGAAATCTAGTAAATAATAGTAATATATCATATCATATCATATCGTGATGAAGAGTTGTTCAAGGTTTTTGATTTCCAAGTGATGCTTTAGCTTGACCACTAGCAAATGAACCATCACCAATAGGACTAGCACCTCCATTACTATCACCGTTAAAACCAAAACCTCCTCCGACATTTCCTAACCCGAAACCTCCTCCTCCAATGCTAGACCCGAAACCTCCTCCTCCAATGCTGGGCCCGAAACCTCCTCCTCCAATGCTGGACCCGAAACCTGATCCACTTCCAATTTCAGTTCCACTTCCAGTTTCAGTTCCAGTTCCAGTTCCGAAACCCAATCCAGCACCGTTGTTTGGACTAGCTCCCCCCACAATTCCTCCAAAAGGACCAAATCCAATAACCGGCCCTACACCAAATGCGGGCCTACCAAGCCCGTGGCCACCAAAAAATGGTGGTAAAATTGGATGGCGTATAAACTTCATATGTTCATCTGATTGAGATTTCATGGAATCAAGGCTCCTAATTGCATTTGTGGATAAAACAAGTGTAGAAGCAACAATTAGGAGAATCATATTGGTTGCCATTGTATAAATACTTACTAATAGTCTAGTAATTAAGATATAAGATGCTAGTGATGAGAATTTTGAGTTTTGGAAGCTCAACTTATATAGTAGTAAAGTAAGATTAATAATAATGTGAAAGTTAGGTAGGAAGATATTAAGTCATGTATACATTGCGTGTTATATATTGACTAGTAGTATAATATATTTGTTTATAAAAAAGCCAAAACCTTCGTGATCAACCTAACTCTTCCCTTACATCAAATTAATTAAGTAGATCATTCCTTCAAATGTACATGCATTAATCTTTATTCACCTCATCTTCTTGATTTCTTATACTAGCTAGTTTAATTTCTTCCTTTAATATTTTCAATTTCGATAATTGATTATATTTTAATTAGGTCTCATTCATAGAAATATGAACATGAAGATTTATGAAAATAATAACGTACCCATTATGATCATGCTTTAATTTCTTTTTTTGGTTGGTTCGGGAGGGGGTACCACATGCTTTAACTATTATCGTCCGTCAAAACAAGTGAAACTCCAAAGCTGATCATCTAACACACACAAGTAGGGGTATTTACGGGAATATAACCAAACCAAAGAAAAAAATCATGACATTTTTGGGTTTGGTTTGGTTTTGGACGTTTTTAATTTAAAAAACGATTGTATTTAATTTGGTTTTGGTCTTAACAAAAAAATATCCAAAAAATCTGTACCAATCAAACTCTCTCTATATATATTGTGTGTATATATATTTTATATAAAATTTTACGCTACATATTAATCTATTTCACTCTTGATTTTTAATCTAGATGTTTGACTTAATTAGTAGAAGTAATTAATTTAATTCTTTACCCTTATTCAGTAGTTTTATTAGTAGCTTTTATTTTAATAAATCAAAGAATCTATTTCATGTTAAAATAACTTGTATTTGAGTCCTTTATTCATAATTTATTTGATTCAGTTATCATTGAGATGTAACTAAATCACAACTCTTTAATATTTTGCTAAAAATAATAATATTATTTTAAGAAGTTTTAGATATTATGTTCCTTGAAATGAAAATAGCTAATTTCTTAGACAATGCATATAATTGAGTAAATATCTCAAAAGGTCATCCAATTTTGAAGAATTATCTTGTAAAGCCATCCAACTTTATTTTTGTATCAATAAAATTACTTAAATTTGTGTCTTTCTTTTATAAAATCACTCAATCAGATTTATCATTAAAAAAATAATTTAACATGATAAAATAAATTAATTGTTTTCCCTCGTATCTCAATCCTTTATATGTTTTTCTTCTTTAACCAAAAATTATGTTTTTCTTCTTTTCTTTTACTATTTTTCTGCAATAATCATTAAAAAAAATTACTCCATTTTTTTTTATAGTTATAGATTGATGGATCAGATGTAAGATATGAATAATTTTTTTAAAATTTTATTGGTGAAATTATTTTTTGACTATAATACGAACAAAATAAAATGTGATGAAAAGAAAATTGGTACTTCATCATTGTCGTTATGTTTCCAGTCTAGTAGCAGATAAAAGAGAAAATTATAGTATAAAATAATCTCCTCTTTGATTTGTAATAATCTAATTAAGTTCGAAAACATTAATGTTATGCAAGCAAATATAATAACTGTTTAGTGTATATAAAATATCTCTCTATTTACCAAAAAAAAAAAGAGAAGATATTTGAGTAAAGTTTTCATTTATGGAAGAGAGAAAAGAGAAATTCAAAGAGAAAAGCTTTTATCGTATTAAATTATTTTTTATAATAAATTTGATTGAGTGATTTTATAAAAAGAAAATTCAAAGTTGAGTGAATTTATCGATACAAAATAAAGTTGAATGATTTTACATGATAATTCCTCAAAGTTGAGTGACCTTTTGAAATATTATATATATATTCTTTTCTTAAAGAGTGATTGATTTGTCCGTTAGTGCTATGCTAAAATATAGTACATCTAACATGAGCTTGGAGGTATATATATTATCATATATTTTCCAAGAAATAAAAGACAAAGAATGAATTAACAGAAAAAGATAATAAAAACCGAATCAAGAAAAATCGATTTTATTATATTATTTTGATTTGATTCCGACATTTGAAAAGAAACGACATAATAAATTTGATTTTCCTTTTAAAAATACATCTGATACGATGTTTTAGATAATTAGAAATGTTAAAAAGTAGTTATTATTGTTCATTAGTCACCAAAATAGTTATTATTGTTCACTGTTATTAGAGTTTGTTAGAGCAGTTATTTTATTAGTTGTAGCATTAGATTCCAATTCAGTTCTATTAATAGAGATGTAATACAATTGTAAACTATTGAATGATATATGATAATTCTTTTCTTCTCTCTTTTACTCTGTTCTTCTTAGCTTCTATCTCGGAATTGCCTGATATAGTTATCTTCTTCTTCGAGGTTCATCCTCCTAGTTGATATTATCCTTTTGATTACTGGTAATTGAATCAATTGGTATCAGAGATGCTGGTCCTCGGCTAAGAAATCATGGTTGCTCGGGAAAAAAATCAAGACAGATCTTCAGAGAAAATGGATGGAAAATTGTCTCAGAACAATTGCAGAAGTTGATGGAAGGTATGGTGAATATGAATGATAGAAATGTACAGACATATAAGGAATTAATGGAGATCAAGCAAGTCCTAGTAAATGCGAAACAGAAGGACATGGAAATGGATTAGAATAGAGCTGAATCATCTGTAGGTGGAGACAGAGAACAGGGGTTTTGCAATGCAACTGGGGATTTCCAAAATTCTAATGGTAAATTTCTTACCTAATGTTCTAAACTTGATTTTCCTAAATTTTCGGGATCGGATTTGAGGGCATAGTTATATAATGTGGATCAGTTTTTTGCCATGGATGAAGTTCCATATGATCAGAGGGTGAGAGTAGCATCTATCAATTTGGATGGTGAAACTATTGCTTAGCATAAATCATACTTGAAGTCTAGGAACTCAGTTATAGACCCTTCTTGGTCTGAGTATGTGTTGGCTGTTAATGAAAGATTTGGGGAGGAATTTGAAGATTCCATGGAAGCTATTAAAAATCTACAACAAACTGAGAATGTTAGAACATATCAGGCTGAGTTTGATAGGTTATTGAATGGGATTAATTTGTCAAACGAAAATGCTATTAGTTGTTTTCTAGGTTAAAACCTGAGCTCAACAAAGCTGTTAGAATGCAAGCACCCAAAACCTAATGCAAGCCTACAAGTTAGCTAAGTTGCCGGAAGAGGTTTTTGATGCTCAGGCTAAGTCTTGGGGAATTAGTAGATCCAGCAGGAATCAGGCCTTCTCCCTACTCCATCTAGGTTTCAGGGTGTACAAAAACCTATTTTTTCTAGCACAACTGTCAAGAAATTTTATGAACCAAATGCTAACAGATTCAATAATGGTAATACTGGTAGAAGGTTATTGACAGCTGGTGAGATGGATGAGAAAAGGGCAAAAAGACTGTGTTTCTTGTGTGATGAGAAGTATATGCCTGGGCATGTTTGTAAATCCAAGAAACAATTGTATTTGGTTGAAGTTCTGGAAGATGGAGAGGTAATCATGGAGGAAGATGTGTTAGAAATGGATGAGTGCATGACAATTTCCTTACAAGCATTTACTGGAAGTACAGGTTATCAAATAATTAGAGTAACTAGATACCATGAAAAACAACCCTTATAGGTGCATATTGATACAATTAGTACTCATAATTTCATTGATGAGTCAATGGCAAAGAAGTTAGGTTGTAAAGCTTTGCCTATACATGAACAATCAGTAAGTGTGGCTGATTGTAGGAAGGATCAAACTGATGCAGTGTGTAAGAATCTGAAGTGGTTACTGTAGGGTACAACTTTTTCTTCTGATTTTCTAGTACTACCATTAGGGAATGTTGACATAGTGTTGGGTGTGCAGTGGTTAAACATTTTATGTAGGATTTTGTTTGACTTCAGAAATAGAACTATTGAGTTTGTGCACCTGGGAAGAAAACATGTTTTAAGGGGAGCCTGTAGCCAGATCAAGACCACCAAGGCGCAATCCTTGAACAAAAAAAGTTCTGAATCAATTCAGGTCTTCATGCTTACCTTGGTGACAGATGCAACCTCTATTGGGCAATGCAACAGTATACAAGTAACTCAAGGTACTGATATTCATCCTACCTTAACTCTTTTAATGGAATAGTACAAATGCCTCTTTGATATGCCTACTACATTGCCCCCTCATAGAGGCATCTTTGATCATAAAATACCACTCGTTGACTCAACTACTCCTGTTAACAAAAGGCCTTATAGATATCCTGAAATGTAGAAAGATATTATTGAGAAGCTAGTACAAGAAATGCTAGATCAAGGGATGATACAACCTAGTTCTAGTCCATATGCCTCACATGTAGTCCTTGTTGGGAAGAAAGATAGGAGTTGAAGGCTTTATGTAGACTATAGTGATCTCAATAAACTGGCAGTAAAGGACAAGTTTCCTATTCCTATCATTGAAGATTTGTAAGATGAACTAAGAGGAGCTGAAGTGTTCTCTAAGATTGATCTTAGAGCTGGTTACCACCAATTAAGGATAAAGGAAGCAGATACCTATAAGACAACTTCTAAAACTCATGAAGGACATTATGAATTTCTGATTATGCCATTTGGTATTACAAATGCACCTTCTTCATTTCAGAGTCTTGTGAATATTGTATTTAAACCACTCTGTAGGAGGTTAGTACTGGTCTTTTTTGACGATATATTAGTGTACAACAAGGATATGTCAGCTCATGTGAACTATTTACAAGTTGCGTTTGATTTGATGAAGCAACATCAGTTGTTTGCCAAAGGTTCTATGTGTGTTTTTGGGTACCTGAGGTACAGTACCTGGGTCATTTCATCAGTGTTAAAGGGGTAGCTACTGATCCTAAGAAGATTTCTGCAGTTCAGATTTGGTCTGTCCCTACAAATATCAAACAACTGAGAGGGTTTCTTGGTTTAACAGGATATTATAAGAGGTTCATTCTGAATTTTGGATCCATTACTAAACCTCTCACT